TTTTTTTTCTGTCTGTGAAGTCACCATGGTGCTCACAAGCAACTTATTCTCCAAACCGACGACCGACATCCTTTCATCTTTTTATGGCTGTTGGACTTGTTTCCGAATGCCCATTGTCTAGGCGCAACTTATACAGGACGTTTTGAATCCTAGCTCCTCCATCTAATTTCAACACAACATCCCTCAGCACAACCCCACCAGCACATCTAGTGAGTATGTCAAAGCTAATTCGTGCACTTTGCGGGAGACCTGCAAAATGGCTTGATGAGGAAGTCGTTGTTCGTGATAGGGTGCAGCAGTAAGTGGATGAAACCCGTCCCTAGCATTGACTGTCATCCTTGACCTGTGTTCAGAACGGAGAAAGAAGACATCGACTGCAAGGCTAAAGACAGTGATTTGAACTCCCGAAACCTGGTAGATAAGAGCGGTACAGACAAGGACGGCGATGACAAAATTCGAGGTTCTAGACAAGACGATCTCGAAAAGAAAGGATCTGTGGATTCGAATAGCCACGACTTGAATCCAGGTTTGGCATTGCCTCAGGACCGTGACGCCGTGTCTTCATCTGTCGACAAGGCTGACAATAGTCCCATACTAGTCCGTCCATCTGAACATTATAATCGTAAAGTTGAAGGAACAGTCCGTCCTCCTGCATCCCGTCAACATCATTCACGCGATGTTGCAACGACACAGAGCACGCCCAGTTCATCTGCCCATGAGTACAGCGACATCGACAACGACATCAACGATTTTAATGATTTTCGCTTGCCCTACTTGGCAAAAACATACTACAGGCCTCCATCTACCCGCAAGGTTGACGAGAACAGAATCAATGGTGCCTGGCGCGCCCCGGATGAATATCACAAGATGGTGTTTGAGGTGTGTTTTTTAATGTCCATTGTCTGTCGACATGACTTACATTCGAATACTGTAGAACTCCATGTTTGACGTTGAAACTGAACCTATATCAGGTAAATCAACCGCACTAAAGAGAGACTTGTAATTTGAATTTGACTTTTTTCTTTCTGTTTCTCGTGGCAGTTGTCGGGGATGTCATTTATATTAGAGCCACAGCGAATCTCCATTATTTCGTCTCTGCGGCTGACAGCAACTTCACCGATTCAGTTCTCATTTTCATCCCAGCGTATAATTTGCATGTAAAAACGTATACTCATTTCCAAATGATGCTTGCGGACCATTTCAGGCGCTGGACGCAGTCAAACATTCCCCAGGACTCGCCGAACATGGCTCAACTTGTTAGGTGAGATTGTGCCGTGCCGTCTTAGCATACATTGAACTGATGACTCATTTATATCAGACTACAGGAGTGGAGGAAGCGCATTAAAAAAGATGTACACTCTAAAATCGCACACTCTCATTTGTGGGCCGTGTTAAACCACTTGCGAAAGGTCAGGGGTGAAATTCTGCGAGCACGTCGTTCTAGACCTCGCAACTGAATATGTAGCATTTATTTATACCTATTGCCAAGATAATCATAAACTTTGACTCGCTATTGCTCTTTAACAAGTCTCAGGCTGTAAACCAAGAAGTCGCGAGCAATGTTGAACTTGATACGGGGTATGTAGGAAGCTGGGAGGATGTAATGATTTCTGCAGGGGCCTTCTTGAAGACATGCGGTCCACAGCACAGGAGCGCCCAGGTAGTATTTGTACTTCATATATCCAGTACGAAAGAGTAGGTATATGGCGTGCGTCCATTGGTAGATTGATAGACGCTGATGAAACTCCGCACCAAATCACGTTCGTGACTTCCGAAGTTCTTGCCGTTCATCACATTTATTGTCCCTGTACAACAAAAACGCCAGAGGACCTCGTGTTACCATTGTTTTTTGTGTCTTAAACATCACCATGGCGCTCACAGGCAACTTATTCTCAAAATCCGAGATCCTTGCATCTTACGGCCATTGCACTTGTCAATTGTCCACGCTCGACTTATAACGGACGCCAGGAACCCCAGTGCCTCCATCTAATTCCAGCCAGTACACTATTTCCCAATTCAACCACACCACCACCTTCACAAAATATGAATCCAATGATCATAGAATACGACAGCAGGGCAGAGCTGATTGAACTACTTTGCAGCAGTCCCGACAGAGAACTAGCTGCGAAGTGGGCCGAATCGCAACAACGTTCAAAGAGACACGCTGAGGAAGTCAAGAACATGCAGCAGCCACAGTGAGTGGATCACAGCCAGCTTCTGGCCTTGATTGTCCTTCTGACTGGTCTGGTGTTCAGATCCGAGGAAGAACACGCCGACTACACGGTCACGGTCAAGGGTGGTGATTCATACTACAGGACTATGATAAATCCCGGCGACAGAGATGGAGATGGCGATGGCGATGGCAAAATTTTACTCGGAGATTTCAGACAAGAAAATGTCAAATTCACGCAGAAATCATCTCGGCGCGACAATAGTATTAGCTGCATCTTTCTGGACGCTGACCACCAGTCTTCGCCTGCCCCCAGACTCGCCAATCGCTGCCACAGCGTGTGCAGTCAAAAATCTGAAAATCACGATCATACAGATGAAGGACTCCGAAAAGTCCATCCTCCTCCTGCCGTCCGTCGTCAACATGTTTATTCACGCAATGTCGAACAAACACACAGCAGGCCGGGGCCTCCATCTTACCTCGAGTCCAACAACGGCAGCCTCAATACGAGTGACTTCCGTAATCATTACTCGTCCCACACGGCAGACGTGCCCCAGACCCAGAGCACAAGCGACAATGATTTGTTGTCAGTGCGTGCCTCGAATGGTTACTACAAGATTATGTTCGAGGTCAGTATTTCTCGATGTCCGTGTTCTGACACAGTGCCTTACACACGAGCCCCTCCCTCCGGATATCACAGAAACGTGACATTGAGGTTGAAACTCACATTGAACGAGGCAAGTCCACTACCCCTTGAAGAAGGAAGGAGCTGTAATTCGAATCTAACTCTTTCGTCCTCCCTTTCTTTCTACCTCGGTCGTGCCAACAGCTTCTGCTGACACTCATATCGTCCGAGGCAAAGCGACCCTCCGCTATTTCTTTCCAGACATCGCAAGCTCCTGTGATCTCACAGTGTCTTTCGAGGTCAAAACATACGACCTGGACGAAACGACCGTTGCCGAATTCGAGCTGATACTCGCGGAATGGTATTGGGATCAGGCGAAGGCACGTCATATCCGCTACGATGTACCGAGTGCGGAACAAATCCTCAGGTGAGAATGGGCCCCGCGATCCTACTAGTACATGCTCGTATACTGATGAGAGGGGATATATTAATTAGTTTGCGGGAGTGGCGGAATTATATTGTGGCCTCGGGAAAGGTACGAGACTATGATACGACGCATTATTATCTTGCGTCTGTCTTGTCCGTTTGGCGCCGCACGCACGCGGGCTACGCTCGTCGGATATGCACGCCTGAGATAGAGCAACACTGAGTGGATACGTAGCATATGCTTATACATATGTAGTGTGCTATTCCGCAATAACAAATTAAGAAATTTGGATGGATCAATCCAGTTGGGACTTCACTGCGTAGTATACACTGGCAGAACTGTACTGACGACACCCAGAGTCTGCTCTCTGCAACCATGACTTCCATACGCCATACGCCATACGTACGCGTGTATAGTACCATGATCGCGCCACAGACATGTACATTTATGGGCACATGGTGTAGCTGGTTATCACGCCCGCTTTGCATTATAACAAAAATCTCGTTCTACGCTGCGGGTGGTCCTCGGTTCAATTCCGGGTGTGTCCAATTCAATTCAAGTTCTTGATTGAAACGATGTCTTTTTGTGTCTCCTCCACGCCCTCGTGAGGGCTGACCGAATAATTGGGTTTTGAGTTGCGAGTGTCTTGGAGGTAGCTATATTGTTGGGCGATGTTAGGCCTAGTAAGTACCTACACAGCGCGTTATGTGCGTCTATTGTAGTGATGGTTGAGTGATGGACGATTTCGACCGCGACGGACGCGCAGGATGTGGTCGACTCGGACGTCGATATCATTCGAATTCAATTGGTCACTGACCCTCTGACTTTGACTCGGTACGGTACGTGAGCTCCACAGAGCCATACTAACACCACACCCCCGCAGTTCCTCGCTTCAGTCAACTTCAACTCGACGCCCTCAACTCATACGTATCAAACTCGTCCGAGCAGCATCACGATCGGGCGTCGACACGTGCATATGATCACGCCACAGACATGTCCATGTATGGGCACATGGTGTAGCTGGTTATCACGCCCGCTTAGCATGCAGCTTTCCCGAGCGTCCATCCTGCGGGCGGCCCCCGGTTCAAGTCCGGGTGTGTCCATGGTTGCTTTCGACTATCTTTTTTTTTCGTGCATAGGCGGAGCATGAGGCGGTCGGATATCGATATCGAAGTAACGTTACGTGTATGTAGTAATTGTCTCGATCATCGACTTCTTCGCTGATGAACTTGAACTACAAATCAACATTTTTCTTGGATGCATACTTAGGACTGTAACCTGCGTCGTGATCGTGATCGTGATCGAAAGAAACGCTCGACACGGCGGACGCCACAGACAGTACTACTTATGGGCACATGGTGTAGCTGGTTATCACGCCCGCTTAGCATGCAGCTTTCCCGAGCTTCCATCCTGCGGGCGGTCCCCGGTTCAAGTCCGGGTGTGTCCATGGTTGCTTTCGACCGTCTTTTTTTCGTGCATAGGTAGAGAGCATGGGGTGGTCGTATATCAAAGTACGTGTATCCTTGTATCGATCATCGATTTCTTCGCTGACAGACTTGAACTACAAATCAATATTGTATTTCTTGGGATACATACATAGGACTGTAACTTGCCAGTGTGTCGTGATCGTCAAGGCGGACGCCACAGACAGCACCATTTATGGGCACATGGTGTAGCTGGTTATCACGCCCGCTTAGCATGCAACTCTCCAGCTTCCGTCCTGCGGGCGGCCCCCGGTTCAAGTCTGGGTGTGTCCAATATGTAAGAAGGCCTTTTTTGTTGGCCCGTGGCTCGCGCTGTTTGTGGTGCCCTGAATCGCGGGGGTGGTCGCGCGTGTTGAAGGAGTACCAGTGTAGAGACGCGCCGCGGCGATACGAGGCTGGATGAGGCAGAGGCAGAGGACCGTCGATGTCGCGACGCCACAGACAGTACCCGTTATGGGCACATGGTGTAGATGGTTATCACGCCCGCTTAGCATAGTACCCCTATCTTCTTCACGTCTGCGGGCGGTCCCCGGTTCAAGTCCGGGTGTGTCCAATTTCGATAGTAGCAACTTGTTTTTCGTGCCGCAGGCGGAATGGCGGGGATATATATATATATATATGCAGTACATAAAGATACAGAGATTATGGTATCTATATAATAAGAGTACAATCCACGGTACGGTACCGGTATGCGGATCCATTTATTGATCATCAGAAGAGGCGCGTAGGAGTGGGAGTTGCGAGGCGTGTGCCGGTGCCGGCGGCGGTGGTGGTGGTGGTGGAGAGATGGGGCGGGAGCTGTGCGGACGCGATGATTTCGGCAGAGGAGACTTCGCGGCCTGATTGGAGGTATGCGATGCGGAGTTCCTACACGGGGCGGGGGTTACAAGGTCACCAATAAATAAGAACGCGCAACACACCTCGAAGCTATGTGCGGAATACGCCGGCTGGGTCGTGAGCGCCAGGAGCTGCTCTGCGCCTGGGGCAGTGGTATGAGGCGGCGCTGCGGGTGCGGTGACGTTTGCGGTGAAGGGGGACATGGCGATGGGGGGGGGGGAGAGTATGTTGCCGGCCATGTAGGCGTAGATGCGGAGCTCGTCGTGGGAAAAGAACTGGAATGCGGGCATGGCGGAGATGGACTGGAGAGAGGCGGTGTCCTGCTCTGTGGGCGTGGGAGAGAACTCTTGTGCGTTAGGGAGCTCGTTGGGGTGTTTGATGGCGACAAAGTCGGATTCTGAGAGGGGGACGAAGATTGGGGGGAGGCCTGCTGCGATGCGTGCTGCTGGGTCTGCGGGGAGAGGGGGACATGGTTGTGGTGGGCGACCGGTTGTTGTGTAGGCGTGGAGGTAGTCTTGTACTCTGAGTTCCTCAAAGTTTGACAAGACGGACATGTAGAGAGAAGCCATTCTTGAAATGTTCCCACGGGTGGTTGAATTGTGACAGTCATGAAGAACTCGCCGTTTGGAAAACGACTGCGTGCTGAGCCACTCTCGACCACCACCGACTATGCGGATCGCTTCGTGCCTTCAAGAGACTCGGGCGACATCCGTACTTCCTATCACTTGCTCGACGATTCACGCCCAACCACGCCCTCAAAGAACAGACTCATCCCATCCGAGTCTGATGCTCTCAAAGGTGGGTGGTGGACTGCTCTGTGTGGTCGCCTCTAATCTCCCCCCCACAGAACAAGCCAATGCTATATTCACGTCTGTCCTCCACTCTGAAGTCACTCCAACACGCCCCGTCTCTCCCACTCGCCCCTTCCCCATCCCCTCCTCATCCAACACCGCCCCTCCATCCACCCCCACACGCCGTCGCATCTTTGCCTACTCGTCCCCCTCCTCCAACCCCGCAACCCCCACTCGCAGACTAGACGACCCCACCGACGATGCCTACTCCATGTCCCCCGTCCGCGCTGCCAGCCGCCGCCTCCTCGAGTCCCCCCGCCCCCAGCCCCGCAGCGTCTGCAAAACCCCCTACCGCGTCCTCGACGCCCCTGACCTCGCAGACGACTTTTACCTCAACCTCGTCGACTGGTCCTCCACCAACGTCCTCGGCGTCGGCCTCGGCTCCTGCGTCTACCTCTGGACCGCCCACAACGCCGCCGTCTCCAAGCTCTGCGACCTCTCCGACCAAAACGACACCGTATCCTCCGTCTCCTGGGTCCAAAAGGGCACCACCCTCGCCGTCGGCACACTCGCGGGCCACCTCCACATCTACGACGCCAGCACCCTCGCCCTCCAGCGCACCTACGCACGCGCACACACCCAGCGCATCGGCGCCCTCGCGTGGAACGCGCACGTCCTGTCCTCGGGGTCGCGGGACCGCGCCGTCCTCCACCGCGACACGCGTGTGCCGCGTACCGCACCCGTGCGCAGGTGCGCGGGGCACAGGCAGGAGGTGTGCGGCCTCAAGTGGAGCACGGCCGCGGACGGCGTGGGCAGCGCCGGCGCGAGCCTCGCGAGCGGCGGGAACGACAACAAGGTGTGTATTTGGGACCTGAGGGGGTCCAAGCGCGCGAGCGCGGGTGCGCGTGCGGCGGGGGCGAGCAGTGGGAGTGGGGCCGACCCCCCGGACGCGTCGGACGGCGCGGCTGACGCGCCGCTGTGGAAGTTCCACGAGCACACCGCGGCGGTCAAGGCGCTCGCGTGGGACCCGCACGTGCCGGGCGTGCTCGCGACGGGGGGCGGGACGCAGGACAAGACGATCCGCTTCTGGAACACGCTGCAGGGCACCGCGCTCGCGTCCCTAGACACCGGATCGCAGGTGTGCAACCTCGTGTGGAGCCGCAACTCGCATGAGCTGGTGTCGACGCACGGGTTCTCGAGCCTGACGGCGCAGAACCAGATTTGTATTTGGAGGTATCCGAGGTTGAGTATGGTTGCGGCGCTTGGGGGGCATACGAATCGGGTTTTGTACCTTGCGATGAGCCCGGATGGGGAGACGATCGTTACCGGGGCCGGGGATGAGACGTTGAGGTTTTGGGCGGCGTTTCCGAGGAGGGAGAGGGAGGGGAAGGCGGGAGGGGGTGGGGGGGCGAGGGAGAGTCGGTTGGATTATGGAAAGTTGATTCGGTGATGCTGTGCCGACTTGATTTCTTTATCTCTCTTGCTCTACCCATGGACTCGTACTCGCACTCGGATCACGCACAACCCACCCCACCCCAACCCTACCGACTTCGTTCACAGCACCACGACCCGCACCCGCACCCGCACATGCACATCTCACGTCCTCATATGCCACTGTTATATATATATATAATCCTGCTTCAGCTACGCCATATCCGCATCCGCATCCGCATCCATATATCACCCACCCACGCAATCAACCAACTCGACCCAGCATGCACCACCCACCCACCCACCCACCCCATCTATTTATCTATATATACATACATCCATGCAGTAGTATCATCTCCATATCCATGCCCGTACGTTTACGTTACTTATACCACCCATCCCATCCCATCCCATCCCATCCCATCTATGCATGTGCGTGCTTGCGCATTCCCCAGCCCCCAGCCTCAGCCCCAGCCCCAGCCTCGATCTTACCGCCCCGTCCCGTTACTGTTACCTGTGATATTATCTTATCTCTTGAAAGTCTGT